CTTAATTATCCCGGTAAGGAAAACAATCATAGTATATTGCACCTAGAGACATTGGCTAAGAAATCCAAACGACAAACCTTGATCATAGGCTGCAAATGCAGGAGAACCAACAACTCCATTAGATATCCAACTGTAAAGTCAGGTCACTGTGTAAGATGTAAGATGAACTAAATGTCTATGTAGTTGACAATTGTAACTGATCAAACTACAATCTTAGAAACAAAGGAGAAAGAGATATCTAAGAACTTAAAGATTAGCATTTCTTAAAGTAATCAAATACATGCATTGACAAAGAGATCCACTGGTCAGTTCTCTAGTGATTTCGATGGTATACTTCAGTAAGATACATGGTTCATGATCCACAAAATCAAAGGGATAATAATTCTTGATCTCATGCACAGACAAATGATCTTCTTTGGCTACAGATAAACAACTCACCTTCCAAGGGCTGATGCAGAATATACACCATCTTAAAAAGTATAAATTGGATCACTTTGATTAAGCAGAAGCCAGGTCAGTCACAACAGAAAAAGTATCTCGCTGTCGAGACTGTTCAACTTTTGACAGTACAAAATTAAATTGAAGTGGAGTACTGAATCCAGGTGGACATTCATTCATAATCTCAGTCCACTATCCCAGCTGAATTAATAGGCACATAATGCATAGCAAGGTTTAATCCCTCACAGATGCCCATGCCAGCCAAATTTTTAAATAAAATATTAAAAGAAATGAAAAAGAAAATGAGAAGCCATGTCTCTTCTAATTGTTGCTTATAAAATACACAACCCAGATCCAATAATATATCACTTCATAAATTTTTAAATGCCAATTGATTAGTATGCCTTCCAAACATCATTTAGTTATACTAATACTAGTTATAAACCTGAAGAACCAGAAAGGACAACTTAACAATCTGTCGACAAGATAAATATCACTGGTCATTTTAACTCCAACTTAAACGATGAGTAAATCATATACACACAGAGGAAAATGTGACATGAAGAATGAACAAAGATGTGTGGCTCACCCCATGGATGAATCAAAAACCCCATGTTGCAGATAAACAACTTTCCGAGCATCACGTCTGCAATATCAAATTTGGATCATCAAATCACATTCATAAACGGGCATCCACCAAAAAGCTCTGTATATAAAGATACAGCGATGTCAAAACAGGAATCCAAACCTTGGAATTCTCTCCAAAAGGAGAATATATCCATCGTTAGTTACCACACGAAGAGCTTCATATGGGTACCTACAACAGAAAACACTTATATGCTGAGAACAATAGGAATGCCAAACTCTGTGTAAAAATATCAATATAGTTATGAATACAAGAGTTCCTGCGGAAAGCCCATGTTTCAAGTCTGGAGAGAACAATATAATACCCCTAAACCACAAAGACTTCCCTATCTGCTAAAGCAAAGAAGAATTGAAAGAGGACAGTACAAAAAAAATACCTTGTCTACCAGTAAACAACGGCCACTTCACTAAGGAGAAGAAAATTCAAAAGGTTGCAATAAAAAGTTCCTATTTACAACTGAACAATGACTCCTAAGGCAGAAAGAGATTAAAAGAGGACGGTTGATCATCACAGAGATCTGAAAATTTTGTAAGACATGAGTATCTACCAATGAACAGTTGACAGAAACTCTTCCTTTTTCCACAGTTGATCAATTTTGACAGTCTACCAAAAGCTTAACCAGTAGAAATTATAGCGTACTCTAGGCTCAATGCAGTGAGTAGAAAAGCACAAATGCAATTGGAATACAAATGAGATGCTAGTCCTTTTCAACACCATATAAACTCCAAATAACTTCATGAAAATATCATCACAGTTCATTTGACAAATTTGAGTCTTCTAAGGAAAAAAGTAATATTTATTTGAACATGTTATCTGTTCAGAAACATCTCAATCCAAGGGAACATGCATGCCAGTTTTGGCAAAGGAGCGGAATCAAATCAAAGTGCCTTACCCAAGCTCTGTTATGACATCTTGACACGTCCTAGCATCTGTATTTAGGGAATGATAAAAGCTTGTTTGTCGTTCCCTAGGCGTAGGGTCATTCTCTGAAAGAGTATCTGTAGGTACAGATACACCTGAAGCATCAGCAGGAACATCCTCAGGACCACTCATACAAGAAAAGAACCATTTCACCACTTCCGTAAAAGTGACTATCGGTGAAAGAAGACAATGTGCTGCCTTGTGGACGAATCCAAAGACAGTCTCAATAATAATCTCAATTGCTAGATGGAGATCCTACACAAGATAAATCAGACGAAGTCATCTTAATAAAACCAGTAATGGCCGAATGGGAGTGCGAAATAACAGTAAAACAATTACTTAAATGACCAACTGTAAAACCAAAAAAGAAAAAACCTCACAATGAATCGTCCTCTTGCCCCAAACCAAAAAGATGAGTAGAATAAATGTAATATGTAAACGGAACACCCAAACACATTCATCAAAAAAAGAGAAATGGATCTGGAAAGGCATAAATTATATGTATGATTCATGGAAGTTAAGCCCACTGCCACTAGTTTGGAATTGAGGACACTATAGAAGGAGAAAACTGAATATGTCACACCTCAACTACGCCTCGCCTTCTGTCAGTGGCACGTTGGACAAAGTGGTCCTTGAGTGACTGTAATCTCTTGGTAGCTCGTAGAGGGGAAGACTGGAGACTCCCAGACGTAGTACGTGAACCATAGAGATACAACGGTATTCCCAACATAAATTTAATGGGGAAAATGAACCATGAGAAGATGTATCTGAGCAAATGTACCCAATTACCACTCTGCCTTGTAAAACTGCTCACTCTGGATGCTCGAGAACTTTGTAACAGAGGAGACATTGGACCGATGTTTTCATCAACATCTTCCTGTGATGAGTATTCTACACTTGATGAGGCATTGGGTTCAACAGAAAGCTCATGAATGAATTGGTTAAAGGATGAGACACCACTGTGATCACCAGGAAGAAGCATGTTAACAAAATGTGCCGTTATTGAAAAAACAAGAAAAGATACGTGAGATGTTTTGACATAATTGAAAAAAGAGGTGACAGAAGAAACACAGTTGTCAATGCATAACCAGAGAAGTAGGAAATTATCTGAATTTTAGAGCATGGGTTAAGAGGAAATGAAGATTGAAACTCACTCTTCCATCCAGCGTGGAAGCCTAGGCCCACGAAATGCTGGCCGAAGCTCCCAACCATGGATACCTTCAAGAATAGAAGAGTTCCCTGGTAATATTGTCAATAATAGTGCGGACACCCCATTTATCAACCTCACAACATTGTTCAATGACTCATAAGTGAATGTTTTAACTGACCTGAGAGAATGAACAAAGAGATATTAACATCAAATAATGGATCCATCCCAACAGTTGCTTAAGGAAAGTTAGCAGACAAAAATACACAACACAAAACAACATGTGTTAACTGCAAGGATTGATGGGTTCTGAAGGGTGATTAGGGCGTCATGCGGAAGCTTGCAATTTGCAAATCATATGGTTGATAAATCAGATAAGAAAAACTTATACTAAAAATTAAAATATTATTATATTGAAACTAATATAAAGAAAAACATTAAAATTGTAGAGAGAATAAATCTCCCCATAAACAAAACTCTCTAAACGACTACATTGTGGATGTTATTGTGTTAGAAGAAACAAACCTATATTTATAGAGTCCTAAAACCTTTCCTACTAGAAAAGGAGTCCTAAAAGGAGAGAATAAACCAAATATAAAATAATATTATATTTTCCTTTCAAGAAAAGTAAAAACATTTATGGTAATGTTTTGTTTTTTCTTTAAGGAAAAATAAATCTTAAATTATGGTAAGAAAATCAGGGCAAAACCCTAACAAGGATTTCATGTAAGCATTCTGAAAAAGTTACTATCCCTTTTTCAGAAAGTAAACAACTACTCTGACATCCTCAAGAGAAATAATTTCATTTACAAACAACTTCTTCGCGTAATTTCTCATTTATCCCCTGAAAGGAAAATATAAAATTGATGATGATGGCCGAGGTATCCACTTCGAAAGTATATCTGCATTGGTGGAGTTTTCATGATCTTGCCTCTTACTGTACTTTCACCATTAGTTTTGTCACTTAAATTGCATCAAGAAATAAATATAACCAGCTCAAAGGCTTGTTTCCCATACCGTAACATTTATCCCTGGTCACTTCTAGATGGAGCCAGTTATTTCCTAATCAGCACGAACAAATAGATTACTCAGATCAACTTACAAATACACTACTCATATACAACTTTTTTCCTAACAGGTGAGGAAGTAAGACTATATCCGAACTCATGGTTTCATATCTTAAATATGTGACCTAAAATGTTGACAGCAAAACTTCAGCTGTGTCAGCCTTGAGTACACAGAAAATGTCTTCTCTTTTGATATAGCGAATAACAGTGTCTCCCATAGTCTATGTTGCTCGGACTCTCCAATATTGTTGCTGCATCCATGTCGGATCCTCCAAGAATGCACTACTTTTGAAGGATCCAATATGCACCAATAGACATTTTTGAAGAGTCCGAACAACGCAGCCTATAGTTCCTCCTTTTCTCTAAATATATAGTAATGGTAATTGTAGCGTCCGTGATCAACCTAGTTTTCTCAATTATGCTACCAGGTAACGTATTAAAGACAAATACATGTCCTCCGAGTTCACATAGAAGACCATCATTGTCAACTGATATAAAGGGCTCTTCTTTCACCGTATAAAGGATCCAATGCTAATTATCTCCCTTATTATAACAGTCTGGCACTCTCTATAAATGCATCATCTTCAACATGTCTCTCTGTATGCATATACACTTAAACTCCTCTCTCATTGGTTAGACATCAGAGACTTCACTCTTATTTATTCTTAAATTATTCTCAGAGCACTTCATGGTGAATTGAGTTAATTACAATTCTACTTCTTATATACTAGTAAAGTGTTCTAGGCTAAAATCATCCCTGAAGTTAACCCAAACTTAGGTACATCCTTATACTATAATTATGAACAAAAAAAAAATATCCTTTAACAATCCCAAAATTTGCAATAAACATTCTTCTCTTAACTTTTATTACAAAAATCTTGGAATAGTTAAAGGATTTTTTTGTTCACAATTGTAGCATAAGGATAAACCGTAAGTTTGGGTTATACTTCAGGGATATTTTAGCTCAAAACTCTAGTACTAAAACTAGTCCACCCCCACCCCCTTTTATTTTTGGTGCATAAACTCTCTAGAAGCCCATCACTTGATCATAATTCTTCTAGTAAGCTGTTGTTCCTAAGCTTAGCATCCTAAATCTCAATTTCTTTCACATTATGTTACAAGACATCAAAACATAAGAGGAATTCTCCACTAAGTTCTATTCACACACAATAAATTCAGCAGTTGACCTAATACTGCAAAAAATCACAAATTAACTGCCCAAACAACCAAAAAAAGTAAAGTAAAAAGATGATGAATATACTTTTGAGACATGAACTTGCAGCTTGAATGGGCAATCAATATAGGAGCTAAATTTACAAGAAGAAGAGATGAATAAACATACTCTTTGGTTACAGCAAGGACATGGTCAACGAGCCGTTGCATTGGTTGCGACGATTTAGGTTTCGAATCAAAACCTTCTCAAATGCAATGGAGAGAGAGAGAAAGAGAATGGAGAAAGTCGGTTTCTTTTATGCAAACACACACAGTGCAACTGCAACGTGCCAATTCTTGTCTGTTTACACTACCATCACTTTCCAGGTGCTGCTCCACGTGTCTTTATTATTCGTTTGAGATACGCAAATATAGCCTATGTTTTGGACTCAATATATGTTTTAGTTAATTTAATTTAGAAAAAAAATTACAAACATGTATTAATAAATTACTTAACATAGTTTTAGTTACAACTAATTATAATTCACTATTAATGTTTCATTTTAATGTTTTTGAGTGTCTTGTGTAGTTGGTGGTAAATTCAAGATTTTTGTTTAAAAAATTAAAAAATTAAAAAATTAAAGCATAAACGTGTGAATAAACCAACAAAACATAATTTCTAGGAAGTAGTAGTATATAGATTATCGGTACAAAAAGTTTATTTCGTTACAAGAGACCTAAAACTAACATGAGTGATTACATTAAAAAGAAAATGTTACCCCTTTGCAATGTGTCAATCTAGAACTAGAATGCTTAACTAGAGCGAAAAATGACGTCAAATAGAAAAAAAAATTAGCCCTTCACAATGTCTCACTCCAGAACGAGAGTGCTAACTACAAACTCCAAAAAGAGATCACTTCTAATACTTCTCAAGCATGTTTACAATACTATTCGGCGATGTTTCATTGCTTTAAAAGACAAAATAATATCATCAGTTGAAACATCATTACATACATCATTTTTTATAAAAGAAACCATGCAACCGCTCAAGAATTCATTATTCATTCGACTTCGTAATTCATTCTTGATAAATTTTATTGCTGAAAAAGCTCTTTCAATGGATGTAGTGGCAACTGACAGAAGTACAACAAATTTCACCATATCACAAAGTTCAGGTAAATCAGAGAACCTTTTATCGATATCATGAACATCAATATTATTATTTGCAAGTTTATTCTCAAGTGCACACATACTAAGTTCATCAAAATCATTAGAATATAATGCAATAATTCTCATTATTTTCTGGATATCAAAACTTGAAAATGATTCTATCAAATTCAAACGAGCAACTCAATAAAGTAACTCAGTTATCACCTCATCAAAATGATCATTTAGTTGTTACACTTACCAATCAATTATTTTACAAAATACTTCAACATGATAATAATGAAAAAGCAGTATAATTAGCAGGTTCACACTGTGATCTTTAAGAATTAACATACAACTCATCAAAATTAGATATCATAATGTTATACTTAATACAAAATGTAGACACCTCAGTGACAAATAAATTTCATCTTTTATTTTTTTTTCTCAAGTCTTGCAGCCTTCTCTTGACCTCTTTAATAAGTAGCATTGCATTTGTAATGTCTTGCTATTTGTTTTTATAAACATTTACTAAGATCATTTGTAATTAGTAAAATTTCTTTCATCAAATGCAATATGAATATAATCTCCTATGTTTGAACAACTCTGATATATTTGATTGCCCTAGATCTTTCATCCAAGAATATACAGTTTCAATAGTGTTATCAAATATGACCATAATTGTACCTAACTTGTGAATAAAACAATTAAACTGAGGTAGATTCTCAACGATTATCAAGCTCTAGAAATATCAAGTTCTTGATGCTAGCTTCTACTAATTTTAAGATCATCCATATCAATAGTCTCTTGAATTTTCTTTTTTGAGATTCTAGATATTCATCCATACATTTATAAGGAATCATCAACACATTAAAACTATTTTATATCGACTGTATAAGTTCTCCTAGTTGAAGACATCTTTTAAAAATATCGACAAGAGTTAGTTGAGGTTAACGAGCAAAATAATGAATATAATAAGTCGATCTGCTTTCTTTCTTAATCAATGATCATTAATATCACCTTGCATATTAGTTGCTCCATCATAGCATTGTCCACACACACAAGATAGACTCAAAAATGTTGAGAAAGTAAATCGACAATTACATCTTTTAGAGATTAAGACTAGAATTTTTAACATGAAAAATGTCAAGAAGTCTCTTCATCACAAATCCTCTTCTATCAACATATAGTAAAAACAACCTCGATTTGCTCCTTGCGTGAAACATCAAAAGATTCATCAACTAATAAGGAAAAATAATCACCATTTAGTTCCTTTATGATATATTTAATTGTTTCAATTTTGCAAGTAATCACAATTTCTTTTTGAATCTTTGGACAAGTCATTTAATCATTTTGACGAGCATTTTTCAATACAAAACTATGAATTTCATCACACTTTTGAGCATAAAATGATAGAATCTCAAAAAAAATTACCTCTGTTAAGTGATGATTTGATCCATCATGACCTCGAAATGTTAAGTCTTGTTTCATAAGAAGTTTTACTACATTAATAGAAACTGCTAAGCGAATTCAATTCACATGATTATCTTGATCATATTATTTCTCAAATGAGTGAATAAATTATTGTTACCGCATTAGATCTTCATATTTTCGTTTTGACTGATTATGAATGATAGTAAGCCCACCAACATGTGTTTGCAAGCTAGTTTTATTTGTACCAACTCCTAAACTCCATACTCGAAAATGCTTCACCTACACATTAAAGATTATTTTCCTTAAATAAATAACAATACAAAAAATAAACTGCATCTTTACTTACATACACTATACTCTTAACGAATAATAAAATTCATCAAATCATTTACTATTAAAACGACGCATATCTCCAGAAATCTTTGTTTGTGATAACTCTCTTAATAAGGTTGACAAGATTTTTTTTGATGATAAGCTCTTCTAATAGAGTTACAATGATTTGGATGAAATTTTAAAATTTGAATTCTTTCACCTAAATCAACCTTTAAAGAACTTAAATCATTAGCATTTTCTTCCCGATTAAGTTTATTCTGAGCGATAGAACTTGAATTTGATATTTTGAAAAATTACTTTTTTATTGACTCGTAATTTGTATAAGATAGTTGAATCGATAAATACATTAATGACGATTCTTTACAAATTACAGTATATATTACCACCAAAGATCAAATGGTTCATAAATCTAGTTACAACTATCAAAAACGTAAAAAAAAATCTAAAAAAATGTCACAATTTAAAAATAATAATAGCCAATATTCAATCCAGAAGGGCAAACTTTAATTTTAAAGAAAATGAAGAAAAGAGCCTACTTTAGAGAAAAGACAAACAATTAACTCTTTAGATTCTAGCTTTGGGTCTCTACTTCAGATAATTAGAGCTACTATAACCTTTAAAATAAAGACCCATTCATTATTTAAAATTTTTGCTGCAAATTAGTTTTAATTTCTTGAAAATTTTAAAAAAAAGAAGAAGAGAAAATGATTTTACCTTTTAAACAATAAGCATGTGTTTTGATTTTTCCATTTCAAATTGAATGTGGGAGTCAAGTATAAAAATATCAAGTATGAAACAAATCAACAATAACAAAAATTATGGGAGATGATGTTAATATTTGACTCTTGAGTCTTGAGGAAGAACCAATGAAGTGATTTAAGGATTTAGAAAGATGAAAAGTGATTTAGCCTTTGGGAATAAGACCCTTGAATTTTTTTGGGTTTAAATCTACTACCGCAGCATACTGAAAGATTGTTCTTGAAATTAAATGAAGAGAAACTAAAATAAAAAGCATGAACTTCCTAACTTGAATGTTTGAAAGGACACAACAATTGAAAGATTGTTCTTGAAATTAAATGAAGAGAAACTAAAACATAAAAAGCATGAACTTCCTAACTTGAATGTTGAAAGGACACAACAATTGAAAGATTGTTCTTGAAATTAAATGAAGAGAAACTAAACATAAAAAGCATGAACTTCCTAACTTGAATGTTTGAAAGGACACAACAATTGAAAGATTGTTCTTGAAATTAAATGAAGAGAAACTAAAAATAAAAAGCATGAACTTCCTAACTTGAATGTTTGAAAGGACACAACAGTTGAGAAACATGTTTAAAGGTAAAAATGAAATAGAAATTGTCTATATTAAAAGCATGAACTTCTATTTTGCTGGATTTTTTAGCTCCCAAATAATGTCTTGACTACATTGCACATAGAAATTGTACAATCATTTTGTCTTTCTAATCTCTATTGCTCTATTCCATAATTGCTCCTCCTTAGGAAGTCGGGGTCTAGATCACTTCATGACTCAAACATGATGTTCCTTTCGTATATTTTCTCCGGTATGCATATTTTTGCAAAGATGTTGCATTATTTATTCAAAATTGTCTTGATGGATCTTTGAAGATTAATTATGAAGTTGTTCTCCTGTTATGCTCAATCCTATTTTGGAACGGAGGAAGTATTCCATAACATGCAAAAATTAACTTTGTTTGGTACATATTTCTGCTTTTCTGTAATCATTTACTCTATGTATAATGCAAAAGTTAGCATTATTCAAACTTTTTCTATATGAATTTTTTCTCAAAAAAGGAACTTTCGCACATTATCAAGAGATGAATTTGCTTTTAGGTACCACA